CTCAAAGCCTTGTTTGGGAAATGTTAGCCTGGATCCAAGCTTCAACTGGAAGGTAGTCAATTGTTCACATATTTCTCAAGTCCGTTCATTTGTATTTCTCTCTGTTAAGAGTGCTTCCCAGAAATATCTATTTTTCTTGACTGTTGCAAGGAATTAAATTCAGACACCATTGCATTTAATGTATACCAGGAGATGGAAGAAAATAGAAGATACCCACCCTGGTTTCCATTAGGGGGAAACTCTGACCCAAAATAATTTAATTAGGTCTAGCCCACTTCCCACATTAATAAAGTGAACAAGCATTAAAAGCTAATGTCAACCTCTTTTAGAATTTTGGCAGGCTCTACCAAAAGAAGCAAGAAAAAGAAACTTCATTTCATAGTGATGGGGACCCAGTGACACCAAGGGCAGGGCAGCTCCTGTCTAAGTGAGGCAATTGAGTCTTTCCTTAACATGGGTTAAGATGGTACTAATTCTCAAGTACAGTTTGTTCTTCAAGGACTTTTTCCCTTTTAATAGATTAACGAGCAAAGAAATCACAGGTCTATAGCTTTTGGGTAGAAGTAATGAAAACACAACTAACATTGAAGGAATCGAGTTCACCATTATTCACAAAGAAGAGCAATGAATGATAGGTACCCAAGGGGCTGAAGTCTAAAACTCAGCTCCTTACTATAGGACTCAGACTTAGAACATGGCCACTGGACAGGGAAAAAAATCTAAACAAGATAATAACTGGAGCTTTCTGAAGGAAGAATGTGGAGTTTTAGCAAAGGAGACTTAGAGAAAAAGGTGGGGATTCCTAAGTGTGGAAGCCAAGATTGGAAAGTAGAAGGGAGGATTCACAGAGGATTCCCCATTCCCCTCCACACACACACACACCTCAATTTCTAAGTGGCTTTCTTTTGAAACTCAAATATAATATGGAAGACAATGTCATTGGTTCTAAATCAAGCACAGGGTGAAAAGAGCAATACTTCTCCAGGAGGTTCCAGAAAAATGGTTATGGACATTGGGAGCATGAACATGGGAGGAGGGTGGAGGCAGACACTAAGAGGAATCCTGACAGGGGACTAATGTAGGTTGAATAGTGACCCTCAAAGATACCCAGATCCTAATACCTAGAACCTGTGAGTTATATTATATGGCCAAAGGGGATTTGCAGATGTGACTAGTTAAGGACCTAGAGATTGGAAGATTATCTCTGGCTAAAAGGTAAGCCCTAAATGTAATCATACATTTTGTTATAAAAGGAAGGCAGAAAGAGATTTGATGATAGAAGAGTAAAAAGCAATATGACCCTGGAAGTAGAGACCGGAGTGATGTGACCACAGACCAAAGAATGTCAGCAACCACCCAAAAGTGGAAATGACAAGAAAAATGGATTCTTTCTTAGAGCTGACAATACTTTGATTTGAGCTCGGTGAAAATGATTTTGGACCTCTGGCCTCCAGTACTAGAACAGAACAAGTGTGTGTTGTTTCAAGCCATACAAATCACCAAATCTGTTGTCATTCATTACAGAGCCATAGGAAAACAATACAAGGATGATGTGAATGAGGAGGAGAGAGAGGCAGTAATGTGCTAGCTGTTTCAAATAGGAAAATGTGGGAGGAGACGGAAGAGGCATGCAGACTGCTTAGGGAGAATGTTAGAAGAAAACAAAGAAGGAAGTATTCTCAAGAGCTGCCTCCAAATGAGAGAAACTGATAATAGAAAAAAGGACTTCTTTTTATTGTAATGAAGTTCTGCTATGAAACATATCCCTACTTTGACATGCTCTTGAAAGACTGGGAAAAGATATACTTTCAACTAAAATTTATTTCTGATGAACTATCATTTCTTAGAATGTAACTTTGTGGAATTAAAGGTAACTGGATTTTATACAGAAGTTTTTACGGGAACTTACATGACATTTTGAACTGCACATGGGGCATTTAGTCCCAAGAAAACATTTTTCACTATGGCTCTATATTATCAGAATGATGTGTTTGAAAAGAGTGCCGTGTTCATTAGACAAAATCTGAAATTGCTCTGGACTATCACCATAAAGAAAAAGAGCAGAATAGAGACAGACCACACTAACAAGTCCCATTTTAGGAATTTTTTTTGTCAACGAGCCATACTTGGAGCTATTATGCTGTTTATTAACACTAAAGATGAAGGATTCTTCCATATGAAATAAGTTTTTAACCCTGCTTCAACAGATAGATGCCCTTTTCTTAAGCAGAAAGAAGGTCAGACATCCAAGGCTTAGTTGAAGGTTTTGCCCAACTCTACCTTCAGGGATCAGATTCCTCAGTCAACCTATCTGACACAGCTTCTAGCTTCTTGAAATTAAAAAATAAATTATAGAAAGCACAATACCAAGGAACCTAAGGGAGAAAGAATGATTCTGGGTCATGACTAGAGCTTGTCCCTGAAATGACACAAGAATGGATAGATTTTGAAAGACTGAGAAAGTTAAGAATCCACAAGGGTCGATATTAGGGGTTATTTATAGATTTGATCACAGACTGTCTCACTGCCTTAGACAGAACATATGGCAAGGTGGGGGAATAGTTAAGATTCATAAATTGAATTCATAATCACTAATCAACAAGGTAGAGAGAAATAAAACACGGCATGGAGTAAAAGACATCTACGCATAGGTCGCCTTTTTGTGAGAAAGTGTTAGTAAATTCACCATCTTCCTCATCTCACTGAGAACACAGATCTTTACAGAGGAGATTAAATGTTGATACTAATATGTTCATTCTTCTGGAAAATTTCAAATCCCCCAACTCCTCTTTTCTTAGAATTAAGGTTGACTAACAACTAGACTGAGCACAGCCTGCTTTCTGTAGCACCAGGGGAAATATTTTCTATCCAGTAAAAATGAAGAAAAAAAATGGAGTAGGTGAAGGACTTGGATCACATAAGAAGAAAGTGGCCCCTCTTGTGAAGAAAATGAACTTAACATAGATAAAAGTATAATAAGAGAGAATTTTATTCACCAGAATTAAAAATAGTCCTAAAGAAGAAGATCAGACCCTAGGTAAACTCCATTCCCAGGACAGTCGACAGAAGTGGGGGCTGGAGAAGGAGCAGGTCACATTTGGGTGACTCAGTCAGGAGATTTACAGAAATAATGGAGTTTAGAAGATTAGGCAAAGAAGAGTAATGAAAGGATTGTTCCCAAAAGTGTGTAAAGAGCCAAGGAATAAGCGAGGAAGGCTGAAGCACCAGAGCCTACAACTCCCCCTAGGCCTGAAAGGGCAAAAGGAGGTTTCTATTTGAGCTCCTCCAGAGTCAGTGAGACAAGGATCCCAGAGTAATTACCATGTGTGACAGGTAAAGGAAACAGGAATAGTTAAGCAGAGAAGTAAGTCAGGGAAGGAATGGTTACCAAGAAAGAGTGTCAAGTCATTATCTCTGCAGGCAATTGGAAGTTAACACCATAGCCACATTCTGCAAGCCAATGTAAAGCATGGGCCATCAAAGTACACCCAAGCAGGTAAGGAGGGGCATCTTCATGAAGAAATAACCCAGCCTGGGGTGTGTGAGCCCAGAAAGAAGGCGTCCATGGCGGGGGGGGGGGGGGGGGGGGGGGGGGGCGGAGCCCAGGACGGGGAGTCAGGGCCTGGCCTGGAAAACAAGAATAACAGGATTGGTCAGCCGAGTATGAAAAATCCAAAGCCAGAGAGAGGAGGGCAGCACATGGAATGGAGTAGGAGGGGAAAGGAAGAAGGTGGGAGACAGATTTCATACCAAGGGATTGACCACATAAGTAAATACCTTAAGGATGTAAAAATTAGGTTCCTTACTGTCAGAAAAAGGACAAAGAAAAGAAAGAGATCTAAGTAGAATGAGCTGTATAGTGTTGTTACTGGATTAATGGTACCAGTGTGAACTCATAGATTTCTAGATAGATACATAGATTATGGATGTATGCATGTATATTTTTGTAGACACATGTAATATATATAAGCACATGTGTTTACATCTATATCTGTCTATCTACCTATCTTTCTATCTATCTATATCTATCCATCTATCTGGAAAGATATGTATCCCCAGCTCTGTCCACTAACTGGTCCTAGGAGCAGGGAAATCCCAATAGCAGTGGGCATAACTAATGCCTAGACCTTGACTTCCAGAATCATTTTTCACTCAAAGAAACCAGGGCTCCTAACAAAGCAGCTGATGCCAGCACTGGAATAGGGAAAATCAAACTGAGTCTGGAAGATCCTATTCTGCAAGGAAGTACTGAATAAATGATGGAGACACAGCAGAAGAACATAAGACCCAGTTGGATTGGGCTCCTGATGGCCCAGGATGGGACAATTTCACATCACAATAGCATAATGATAGTAACAAATTTTTTTCCAATTGAATAAAACAAGACACCATTAACACCACACAAATATAAATGAGCAAACACATAAATTGAAATTTGATGAGGAGAAGATTTACAATGATGCAAAGTACTTTTCCACAAAATTTAACTGTAAATGGAGGAAAGAGTTACTTCAAAATGGAGAAGCTTGACAGACAGATCTTAGTCAAGTGATTAAAATGAACATTAACAGTAGTGTAACAAATCCGAAACTATGAGCTGCCCCATAGGGTGTAATGAAAAAAGCACAATACCACTTCTAAGTTATTTCTGCCAAAGATGAATAACCTGATTTTAATCATGAAGAAACATCAGACTGACCAAAAAACAAAAGACATTTTACAAAATAACTGCTTGCAATCTTTAAAAGAACCAAGGCCTCGAAATCTCTACTAAGGAACTATTTGGATTGAAGGGCACTGCAGACACTGGGCAATTAAATGCAAAGAGAGGTCCTGAGGGTAATCTTTGACTGCTAAATATATTATGGAGACAAGGGGCAAATTTTGAATGCAGTCTGAGGATCAGGTAGTCGCACTCTATCAATGTCAGCTGATGTTGATAGTTACACTGTGGTAATAGAGGACAGCATTTTTTTTCTTAGCAATTACCATTCAGGGGTAGTAGGACAAAAGCTCAGAAACTCACAGGAAAAGAATAGTCCTTTCGCTGTGCTTATTTGGCAAGTTTGTGGTTATCCCAAAATTTAAATTAAAATTTTTTAGTTAAAAACAAAGAAGATAATGTGTAAAAAGCAACTGTCCCACACATGCACAAGGTCATTCGAGAACAAGGCCAAATTTGCCAGTGATAGCTAAGGTACTCTTTCCCTCCCCCAAGAAAGCACTGTGAGATATTTTCAGTCGCTGAGTATCAAAGGTTTATTCTTTAACTCCTACCACTGCTAAACTCTGTTTCATCAGTGGCTCTTCTTAAACCAGTTTTTATTTCACAGAAATTTTTTCCTTTAATAACACATTTTGAAATGTTCACTATTACAGATGAGAATGGTTCAAAGTATAGGGGCAACAAGGCTAAGCAGGCCACCAGGAAGGCTGTCCTCCTCACCTTCACCCCACACAGAATGGAACACCTCTGCAAAGTATGCCAGGTTGCCCAGCTGGCTGAAAACAGAGAACACCACACTTGATTCAAATTACAAGTTCAGTACTGTACTGTACACATCCAGCATTACACATGCTTAAAGTAATATAAATATATATAGTGATACATCAGATCTTACTTTTAAAGTAAACTATAAGCATAAGCAGGCAACTACCAATTTAAAACTTCCAAATAATCTCATTTTACTTAAAAAATTATTTCATACACATTGGCAGCTTCAGAAGCTTTGGGCATGTGGACAGAAAGTGGAGAAACTATTCCAGCTCAGAATAAACACATGTCACATGTATTTAAGAAGCTTTCTAATCAAATCATTTTATAAAGAAGACTTTCTTAAAGGGCTAGGGACAGTTTCCAAGCTGCATGGTTTCTAGGAGAGGCAATTGTACTGAGTACTTCCTCACAGATCCTAGAGGTTCAAATGTAGGGAGATTTATTCTGATTCTCAGGGTGACTCCAGAGTCTGGGACAAAGCAGCTAATTGTCCCTGGCTCAGTGGAGTCCCTTCTCAACCCTAGAATTCCATGCTGGCCAGGCTCATGGGGACAATTTTAATCTATTAAGCCCAGAGGTAGCATGGCTGCAATTTGGCAGCCACCTCCAGTAACTGCAGCTTGTGGGCTAAATGGATAATTTTTCTTATCCCAGAAGAATGCTTGCCAATTAAACATGATCTTGTTTGTTTGCAATTTTCATATGATCTACAAAAATAGCCAAGTTTGTGATTAATAGCACCATGAGAATGTAGAAAACAGGATAATAAAATGAAGTTGCTTTTGATTCTGGGTAAATGTTTCCTACCACTAATGTCAACAAAGTAAAACCATTTTAACTGAATTTGGGGAAATATGATACCTTTCAGAGCAAAAAATATGCCTGTAGGAAGAATATGAACAAATTATAGTCATTAGAGTGTGTGTGTATATATATATATATATCTATATATATATATGCAATTTTGTTGAGAAGCAGAGGAAAAAATACAGACATGGGTCCCTATTCAGAGTGACTGAAGCCTGTCAAGCAAACATGTAGAAATATTTTAAGAGGAAAATTGAGGCAAAGAAAAGCATCTAAACCCTTAATAGACCAGTCAACTGATGTTCAGAAATTGGAAGAGAGTCCTGTGTTAGTACTAATATATTAGTGCAGCATAGTTACATCAATATCTCAGAGATAAAATACCTATGGTTGTAAAGCATCTCCCTCTACTGTCTAATTTTAAAAGGAATGCTCATCCCTACAGAAAGAAGAGGTAGTCTGTTTGTAAAATGAGGACAGATGCTGGCCCTGGGTTGCCCATTTGCTTTGCACATTAATCTGTTGGCATCTTTTAAAATATTTTTGTAGATGTGTTTGTTTTACTGGCTGGTATATTACTAGGAGCAGATGCAGAGAGAGGGGGATTCTATCCCAGTGAGGTCTGTTTGTTGAGCACACATGAGTTGGGCCTTCTCTAAGACTAGTTGCAAGAGGGTATTTGTTTTTAGAGAAGTCAGCAATACTGAGGCAGTCTGTTGAAATCCCTATTGCCTGGTAGTCACTGGTCCAGATTGAACAAAACACCAGCAGGAGATGTATGTAGTCAAATCAAGTCAGATGTTCTGCAGTCCAGAAAATGGAATTTCTCACTTCAAGTCTGGGGGAAACTGGCCAGTATCTGGGTACCAGAGAGTTTCAGATTATGAGGTCACATCTGTAAGAAAAATTTAGCATCAATTCTTTTAAAGCTCTCCATGTGCCAATTCCCTTCAACAAGCTTTCTTCTTTTGCTCTGGTACACACATTCACACCCACACAGAGACACATACCATCTGAACTCATCTTTATGCTTCAAGAACACCAGTTCCTCATTTACCATGAAATTTTACCTAGCCTACTGCTGACACCTATAATAGTCATTATCTGAATGCTTCACTTTGAGTCATCTGCTTCTGGCTCCAGCTGCCACTCGAGGACAATGCCACAAATGCTGACTGCTCCAATGCTATAGAACCACTGTGCCATTACTCTGCTTTTCTGTCTCCCAGCTTTCTCTGAAGACTTGAGAACAGACTCATCTCAAACACAGGGCCTAGCTTGGGATAAGGGAGAGGTAATCCCACTGGCAGGCAGCTCCAAACCTGTGGAAATGGAACCAGTAGAGAAGTGCCTCCATTTGCTATCCTTCAGAGCAATTCTGGGAGACCTCTGTACACTTGGCAGAGGTCCTATGAAATTAGACCCTTGTGGCTTAGAGCTGACACCTTGATAATGCACCCCAAACCATCCACTTGGTTTTTTCTCCTTGCCTGTCTCCCTCCCTCTCTTCCCTCTCACCACTTCTTCCTGGGATCACCTCCCAAATGAACTACTTGCACCTAAATCCTTATCTCAGACTCTGCTTTTAGGGATCCAAACTAAGACAGAGCCCATTGTTATGAGAATAATGATTGAGATAAAATTTTTTTCAGTAGCAAATTAATGAAACAAAGCTCTTTACAAAGCTAAGGGATTAACTGTCTGGAAAGCCAAGGGAGTCACTGAACACTCGGCATTGATTTCTGTCATCTAAAAGAGGAGGAGATGGATTGAAAGTGCGTTTTTAGCTCCCTTCCATGTTGTTATTCTTTGACAATACAAGCTACAATTGAATGGTAGCAAAGGTGCAGTTGCTTTTGTCACTTTGCATACTTCACATCATTCTACTTCAAAGACATAAGACATACAAATTATCCACAATGGATGCTTCATACTTTCTGGATGTTTCTCAAATGCAACATCACCCCATTTTAACTCTCAACAGAATAGGCCAAAGTTCTTCCTGACTGAGCCAACCAAGTTTTCTAAACTTGCACACTCTTTACATCAAAACAATTGAGCATCTTCATCAAGTTTTCCTTCCTACCCACACCTCCGCCTCATAGCATCAGCTTAGATCTCTCTTCCAAACCTCAGTCTAAAATTCCCACCCATCCACACAGTCCCCACAGTGCTTCACTCAGCAACCTGTGTGTAACTGATAGTCAGTAAATGTCTATTGCAATGACGTAATGAGCTTATCCACAAGGACTTAGAATCATCTCAATTTTTCACATATTAATGGAAAATGGCCTTGGTAAAATTGTGGCCTATGAACTTTTTGTTTAATTTCAATAGTGATTTACAAACATTGTTCTGAATATACTGCAGAGGGCAGAAATTCAGTTAAAATGAAAATCCAGATTTTCACAGAAAATACTAAAATTAGGCCTTACAGACATTTTTCTTTCTTTTAAAAGAAAAATAATCCAGGCTTGACATGAAGAAGCTTCTTCCCTACACAAACTCCCAAACAGAGATGTACCTGCGAGTCTCGGTTTTTTAGCTGTGTTTACTGCTGCCATAAACATATATTCACTATTAGGATCATGTGTGCTGGATCCATACTTCTGAAAGAGAAAAGTAAGAAACAGGATTTGTCATCGCTCTTTCCCATCTTCATGGCTGTTTTTTGACTGTTTTCTGTTCTTTAATGAAGTAGTAATGTATGACAAAAGTGTAAACACTGGACTCAGGCTCCTTAGTATAGGCTCAGTAGGAGAACAACATGCAAAAGGCTGTCAATAAAGAACTTTCTGTGGAACTTCCTTCATGTTTGCCTTTATTACACCTTCCCCAATAAGCTTGGATTGTGGGCCCTATCTCATTCTCTTCCCAATTTGCCTGCTTTTCAAATTTTAGTCTGGCACAGATACACAACAGTGTCTGGCCAATGGCCACAGGTGCAGGCACTTGAGTACTAGCATACACACACAATAGGCAGAATGATGTAAGCTCTTGGATTGACAGCCTGCAATATGAATATCTAAAAAAGAATGTCCCATGACACAGATTTTTTTATGTCCCTGTTGTTGTTTTATTATTCTGAATAGATTCTCAGTAGTTGTTTAAAGCAAGGAGTAGAAAAACATACCATGTAAAGAAGCTAGCAATTTCCTTCTCAGCTACCACTGACACCTTATAAGACTTTCTCACCAATTTTTTTCAACTTACCAATTAAGTGAAATTTATAACTAATTATTTCATCTTTTCCCTGACTCTTAGGAAGATTAGATTCAAATATGCAGCCCACATTTTAATAATTTTTAAAAATCAGAGGCATACTTCTATGTTTTAACCTCCCTCTTAAACCTTTGTATGCCCTTAGCCCCAATATCCTATCTTTTGAGAATAATAGTAATAATAAAAATAGCATATCTCTGGAAGCCATGTAATCATTTTTTGAATAAAGTAGTTATGAAATAAATAAATAAATAAGCTCTGTTTTCCAAATTATTAGTTTAATTAGTAGGTATGTCTTGGGGAAAAGCAATTGTCTACTTGTTGATCAAATTACTCTTGGCAACAGTTATGTGCATTTTTTGACAAGTAAATAACCACTCAGAAAAGCAGATGCAAGAAAAGATAGAAGTTGCTCACCTTTTTCATCAGCCAGAAAACAAATATGCATCCCAAACTGTACACTACAACAAAAGCTGCACATCCTATGGGTAACCAAAATTTCAGCTGGCAACATAGCTGTGATTCTGGGTTGGAAAAGAGATACATTAATGAAAAACTCTGAGAATTAAATCTCCTTTATCAGTGCTGAATCATGGATTCTTTATAAAGTTTAAAGGAGCTGATTAACCAAAACATTCTTTCATTACAATGATGAACTGGTGAGTAACATTCCCTCAGTATTACAGCAAGAATCCAGAAACTCAAACTTAAAAAAATTATGCAAGTATCTTCACAATAGTGGTTGTATTTTTGCAAAAGACTAAGTAAGAAAAGTAATGGTATAAAACTATGATTTTCAAACACATCATTTCATTCCACAAACCCAACACAAAACCATTTTGTACCTTAGGTGAATAGAGGTAACAGTCACTAGGCCACGAATCTGGGTGTTAATAAAGATAACATGACCTAATTCTAGCTCAATAGTCTATATGACTAAATTGCAAATTAGCAATAAATACCAATTATTATTAATAATAAATCATCCCATATATATTTCATTAAAATGATTTTCTATCAACTACACCTAAATGAGCTCCAGCACAAAAGATACTACTTGTTAAACTGTTTTCATTAAGGAGAAAAGTTGTCAGAATATGTACGTAGTCTTAAGCCCCAAAGATGAAAGCAATGTCTTACCATAAATATGCAAATATTCTCCACGAAGAATCTTTACTTGAAAAGGAGGAGGATCAAAAATTGATAGGTTGCAGAAGTAATAGCTGCCATGGGAACTATCCAAGTTATTTAGGAAAAAAGAGACACTGTTGTTGGATAACTGAGATTGACATAACTTCAGATTCTTAATGGACACCATGTTTCCACTTCCCTTGGTCTTAGTGAGATCACAGAGCATTTGTTTTCCTTTCAGCAACTGCATTTTAAACTGCTGGACAGTCTCAGGGTATTTGCATAAAATTTGTACTCCTCCATTGTGAAATGTAAACATCTCATACTTGGGGGAATCATTGCTTTCTCCTGGATAAAAAGAAAGAAAGCAAAGCAAAAGTGACATTCTGTGAATATGTTGCCCTAATTATCATATTTAAACATAAAACCCTTCTCTTCATAAAGTCACCTCTATTATACCACAAATTTCATATCCAAGCAAACAAGAACAGAACATGACAAAATGTTAAGACTGTGTCCTAGAAAAAAATCTAGGCAGAAATGAGAAATGTGCTTGTCATACATGAACATGTAATATATTAAGTATTAAATAACATTTTTATATAGTACGAATCAAATCCTTTTATAGCTCCCACAATGAGGACAGAGGGTAAACAAATAAATGTGTGGTGATATCCAGTAATCAGGCTAGGAATGGAGTCTTATTTGGATAAACGTAGTGGAGTTGGGGTGGTTTATAATATTCATTGGTGGGTTAGAAAATGGCCCTTCAAAGAGGTAACTTTAAAATTGACATTGAAGCAGAGAATCCCTTAGCTGAACAAGGAGCAATATGGGAGGATATTAAGGCGGGGGTGAAGGGGAACAATTTAGGGTTGATGTTAAAATTGAATGATTATTTATAAATACATATTTACATTAAACCCTCCAACTAAACAGTAAAAGAACAGATCAATTATGTTCAAACAAGACAGCAATGTGTTTTCTTTGAACCTCATTCACAGAGAACTAAATCAAGAAGTGATGATAATAGTAAGTCCCAGATTTTTGCCTATTTTTTCACTTTTTAAATAAACTTTAAACTCATAGGAACCCATGTTGTTTTTGTGAGCTATGTAGAGATCACAGGAGAAAAAGATCACAACCATAAATGCTGAACAAAATGTCTAAAATATTAGAGGGATTAATTAACTCAAAAGAGGAGAAGTTAGCAAGATAAATGTAAAAACAGACCTAGAACCCACAGAGATGAGCAATAACTTAGAAACTATTTTTGCTCTGAGAGAATCTGTGGTTCTCCCAGGTCAAATATTTGCTTCTATGTTTTATCTCTCAGATTCTGCAAAGTGGGAAGTTCAGTAGAAGATTCTCTCCAATAAGCCTTGTTTCCAAAGAGTCACATACGTGGACACAGGTAATCCAAAAGTAATTCACCCTCGTGCAGATAAAGCTCACTTCAAATCACTTCAATAGTCCAGAAAGTCTTAATCCTTGAGTTTTATTGAAGATGACCTTGGACTGTCATAACCTCTCATTTTTAAAAGTAAAATGCAGGTCTGGTACAGTGGCTCAAGTGGTAGAGCACCTACCTAGCAAGTGTGAGGCCCTGAGTTCAAACCCTAGTACTGCCACAAAAAAAAATGCAGTCTATTTCAGGAAGAAAACATTTATATCTTAGGTGTCAAATGAAGCTGCAAATAATATTTAAATATAAAGATGAGCACACTATCAAAAATAATGAGACACATAAGGCAAAGGCAACCACAGAAGCAATACACTACAGAAACAAACTTACAAACAACTTACATCTTTGAATTATCAGATCCCCAAAATAAAACAGTTAATTTTATTATTCAAGGAAATAAAAGACAAACTGATAATAATATCTGCAGAGCATAGGAACTGTTTTGAATTCAACTAATTTGAAAGAGAGTCAATTAGAACTGGCAAAAGAATGTACCAATTGGAATTAAAAAGTCAATGGATCAATTTAAAGGCATATTAGACAAGACTCTAGAGAGAAGAGGTTAACTAAAAGGTAGATTAAGTGATTTATTCAGAACGCAGGACCAATCCACAGATTCAAAACTCCCAACAAACCTAATGCAGGTTTTTTAAATGTATATATATAACTGGACATATCTTAGTAAGAATCTTAAAAGAAGTTAGAGAACCGATTACCTTCAAAAAGAAGCAACTATCAGACTAGCAGGTAATGTCAACATCAGCAATAAAGGCCATAATACAGTGGAATTAAGTACTATATCTTCAATGTGTTGAAAGAAGCTATCTACCAACCTAGATAACACATTGTCTAGGAAGATATTTACAACTTTTGATAAGTAAATATTGTACATGTTGTGATTTCTTGCATAGTCACTAAAAGAATAGAAATAAAACATATAAGTTAAATGAATATTACAAAATTCAATCTAATGTTTTGTCTACAGGGGGAGAGAAAGTTCAGATCAGAAAGTAAAGTACAGAGTGGAGTGTCTTCTGTATGCTGACCATGTTTTATTTCTTGGCCTGTGGTGATTAGGGAGAGAAGAAGTACACTTTATCATTATTCATTAAATTATACATTTAAATTTTGTTTACATTTCTGTATAGAAAACTTTTTGTTTATCTTTTGGTGGTACTAGGGTTTAAACTCAGGGCTTTTCACTTGCAAAGCAGGCACTCACCCACTTCAGTTACATCCTCAGCTCTAGATGTTTTACAACAAAAAAAGTATTCAAAGTATAAAAAAGGAAAATAATGCTTGTTTTATTATTTTAAATAGAGGGACCAATATAAGTAAAAGTCAATGGGAAATGACTGGCAGCAAGAGATAGGTGTGGTCTACATTCTACTAAAACGAAAGGCCTTTTGGGGGACTAGTTGGTCTGAGAGAGAATTGTGTTGCACTAATCTTGCTTTGATGCTTTTCTCTTTACCTCTGCTGCAGAAGATAAGATCAGTGGACTGGTTCTCAGTTCTTTCAGAAATGTTCAGAGCAAATTTCCCAGAGACTTTAGAATGGCAGCAATTAAACCACAAAGAGATCCTGAGGCAAAAGCATCTGTGGCCACTGTGTACACACATAAACAAAGAAGCACTATTTTCTATTTCTGGAGATTAGTTTCTCAACAGTTTCTCCCCTTTTGTACTCACAGGTGACCTGCAACCTAACACAAGGTGAAATATAATAGTGAGGGTGCAATGCAGTGGTGCTCAAGGAAACCAAAAGCAAATTCTGACTCTGCCACTTTCAGGGCTCTGTGCATAGGGTGTCCCTCTGGACATCAGTCTCCTCTGTGAAATAAGTGAAAGAAAAATAAAGCTCTTTCCAACATTTATTTTCTATGGACTCAGGATCAGAACATAGCCAGATGAAACACACATAACCAAGAAGGATAACACTTTGCTAAAACCATGTTTCTTCCATAATCTTTTCTTGAAATGGAATATTCCAAGGAATGAGGAAAATTAAATGAATGAAACTATCTTTCTTGTCACAAAAACATTTAGGAAAACTAGAAAGGGTTCTGTTTTGTTTGAATGTCAGTGCCAAGGTATGTGTCATTGAAATCACCTGGGGGCTCCAACGTGTCATTTCTTTTGGGCACTATTAATTATTCATAGTTAATGATCATTTTAACCTAAAAACTGTCTGGATCCTCTTTTTATTATTAAATGTAGTGGTAAAAAGGCTCAGATTTCCACATATCCAGTATTTAATCTTTCTGTCAGGAAAAGCATTTGGCAACACCAAGTCAGCAACTTGAATATTTTCAAACATGACGGTTAATCAAGTACCTCACAATTATTTGGGCACTATAGAACAGACATAAGCAAATAATAAATCACAAATTCTCTTTAACCTTTGGTAACATTTTGAAAGGTAATATCAAAAGAAGAGCATCCCTTATAAAAATGACTAGCATTTAATATGTAGATAATTTAAGGAAAATTTGAATACATTAATGTCTTATAATTGCAAAAGTAGCTAGAATCTTTTACCCCTTCCTTGGGATATTCTTATCTCCAAGTCTAATATTCAACCTGGAGTACTGGTATGAAAGCACCCAATATTATATCCACTATCTTTTTTGATTGGTGGGTTGCCTAAACTGTTTGGTTAACTCCTCTGCTATAAGAGTAGTTAAAAATTTTGAAAAAAAAAAATTAAAAAAACCTCTTCTTTGGGCTGGTGGAGTGGCTCAAGTGGTAGAGTGCCTGCCTAGCATGCATGAGGCTCTGAGTTCAAATACCAGTACCACCAAAAAAAAAAAAATTAAAAATTTTGAGCATCCCCTCAATCTCTTTGTTCTTGCTCTTTCTTCCTTTCTCTTACATTTATATTTTCTTCACATACTGTTTCAATAATAAAATCCTCCTTCAAAACATCTTCTCTATTATTATACTTGATATACCCATCACTTTTCTGCACATACTATCTCTATGTCCGATAAACTCTTGTATACATTGTTTGTATCCCATAAACACCCTCATCTTTATATCCTTGTTTTCCTGTAACATTATTCAATCACTCCCTAGCATCATACAGTCAGACCTGCTGAACTTAGAAATCAAGCAGCAAGCAAATCTTTTGTGTACAGACAACTGAAGGCTCAGACAGATTAAGTTATTTGCCTCAGGTCACACAACTTCTTGGGTACATGAAAGATTTTTAGTTCAATTCTTGAATAAAGGGTCACTAACAACAACTAAGGAAAGCAGGTAACCATATGAAGCTAGACAATGGTCACTAACAATCAAGTCTTATAGGACCACTGCTAAAATCTGTCAGCAGAAAGGCTTCATCTTCTGTACCTCAGTTCATGTCCACAGAATCTATCTACTCCTCCTGCTCAGCTGCAACTAGTTCAAATCACCAGTGTCTCTCTCTGTGACTGCAAAATGCTTTACTCTTCCCTATTTGTATCTATCCTCTGATCTTCATATAGCTTCTTCTTTTTCACTATTGAAGATTAATGGCACTTCCTCAGTAAACACTGGTCACTCAACCCAAACTACACATCCAAGTCATTTTCTATCATCTTACCTGAGAGAAAAAGTATTTACCAGTGCCTGAAATGATCTGATTTGTTTGTTTACTTGTGTATTGTTTGACTAGCTCACTGTAACACAAAATCAGGGACCATATTTGTCATTCACAGATCCATTCCACATATCTGCAATAGCACCTGGTAAATAGGAGATTAAAATAAATATTTATAAGATGAAGAGCTGGATGGATGCAATGTATTCATAGAAGAACAAATGCAAATGTAGATGTCAGTGACATCATAAATCTGGAGAAATGCCACATAGAATATAGACTATAAGAACCAAAATGGCTC